TCATTTGAAAAGTTGAAAGATCGTAAAACTGAAAATACGACAAATTCCATAATCGAAAGAGTAGGAAATCGAACAAGACTCTAAAAATTCTAAAGTCTTTAAGAACTCTAAGAACTCAAAAGTTAAAAGGATTTTTAAAAGTCTGTTTCAAAGATACCAAAGATTCTAAAACCAGTAAATATCATGTGAACTTGTAAGATGCCAAAGAGTTTACAGATATCAAATACTGTGAAAGAAAAAAAAAAAACAAAAATCTTAAAGATCTAAAAGTCGTAAGGATTTGAAGAATGCGTTCTTAAATTTTAAAGAATACTAAAATTACTGGAGGTCTTGAACACCCTAATTCTTGTCTTATAAAACTTAGACATTGTAAAGATTACAGAGATTCCAAAAAAGCCAAAAATGTAGAGACTAGACTCTTGAAGTCTAAGTATAAATTTTGGGCAATCTGGAAATATTTAGAAAGCGGGAAAAATGTGGTACACTTTGAAAATTTCACACAGGGTTGAAAATTCTGGCACAACTGGAGCCTGATGTTCATGGAAATTTTAGAAAATTTAAAAATTCGGGGCATTTTGTGTATTTTGGAACATCTGAAAAATCAGTCTAATCTGGAAAATATGAAAATTTTAGAAATATTGAAAATTTTGGAAATTATGAAAATTCCGAAAAATTAAACAAAAATTACAACATCTCAAAAGTTTCCAAAAGCTCTAAACCTTTCAAAGATTCTAAACACTCAAAATATTCCAAGGGCCTTAAAGATTCCACTCGAATTTGTTTTTTTTTCATTGTCCGATTTTTCGGTTTCTCAGTTTTTAATTTTTCGATTTTTCATTTTTTCGTTAACACAATTTTTCAAGTTGATTTTTATTTTTCATTTTCCCAATTTTTTAATTTTCATTTCCTCGATTTTATATCACAATTTTTCGTATTTCATGTTCTTCATTTTTCAATGTTTCTTCCTATTTTATAATTTTTTGTTTATTCAATGTTTCGAATTTTCAAACTTAGATTTTTTAGGTCCTCGGTTTTCCATTTATTTAATTTTTCAAAATTTTCAGTTTTTGAATTTCCAGTTATACGATTTTCCGGTTTCTTTAATTTTCAATATTTCGATTTTAGAAAACATATCTGGCTTTTTCGATTTTTAAGTTTCCCAGTATTAATCTCCTGACTTTTGAACATTAAAACTAGAAAAATTTCAAATCAAAAATTGGAGAAAAGAGAAACTAAAAAAACGAGAAACTGAAGAATCTAAAACTGAAACAACGAAAAACAAAAAAATTTTAAAGTTGAAAAATTGAAAAATTGAAAACAAAACATTGAAGAATACGTAAATTAAACGTTACGTATTGAAAAGAAGAAAAACGTTAAAATCAGACCATAGAAAAACCGAAAACTTGAAAAAATAAAGAAAATATAAACCGAAATGAAAAACTGCAAATCGAAAAATTGAAGACTTGAAAAACTGAAAAATCGAAAAATTGAAAAACTTGTATATTTAAAATAAAAACTCCAAGAGTTGCATATCGTAAAGTTGAAGAAAAAAAAAAGAAAAATTTAAAAATTGCAAATTGAAAAATTGAAGAAACAAAAAAATGAGAAATTGAAGAATTGAAAAATTCAAGTTAAAAAGCTGTGAGAGTGTTATTTACGTGACTGGTTTTAAATTTATTTTTTAACCCATTTCATTATTAGCTACAAAATAATCAAAATAATCACTGGAAGTTTTTTTGAAATAATAGTACTTTAAAATTTTCAGCTATATTTACGGCATCATTTATATAACTAATAATAGAAAAATAGTAAAGAAATGGGAACTCATTTAGTACCATTAATTTCCACAAACTGTTTTCTATCAGTAACTTCTAGCTAATATTCGCACTTTCCCGATTTTTAAACCAACGAAAACCTATTTCCACTGTGATGTTTACCCATTTTAGATAAAAATCTCCAGTGGCTCGGAAATCCGGCAAGAGAATTTTATTTCCGTACTGCGTTTAACGTGCATACAATAAATTGAAAGAAAATACCAAGAAGTGACGCCAATAAAACACATCCACTTTAAAAGAATGCTATGCAGATTCAGTTTGCTTGTTTTGTGTGCGCTGCAAGATGAATAAATATAGAGAAAATGGGAAATATTGCATTATGTATATGCTATGTATATCTTCGAAAATATTCGCGTGAATGCATTCGGTTAAGCAAATATTGTTTAGGAAATGGCGTGAGAGAAAATGCTATCGAGGAAAAGATATATTTACTCAAAAAATGGTGCTGTTCGTGTAACTAGGTATAACGCTTCTTGACAGCTAAACGTAAGGATAATTGGTTATACGGAGGGAGTAGCTGTCGTTGCCCCAATCAGCATCACTGTCTCCAATTAACGAGCTTTCGCCGTACTTGTGGCATTGCAGCTTCAGATTAATTGTAACTTTCGTTCGCTTGATGGCCGACTAGTGAGAGATTATTGCAATAATGACTAACACTCCTGGAGCGTGAGCAACGTCGGGTTTTGTTGCTCGACGGGGGTGTGATAAACTGGTGTAATATGGATTTTTTTTAGTTTCTGATTTACATCCCCTGAGTGGTGAATTTTAGAATCCACATTTAAAATTTGTGATTAAAATCCCGAATATGCAACCAGTTATACACGCACTTATACCACTATCTTTTTTTTATTTTCCCATCCGTCGACTTCCCAAACTTTCGATCTTTCACTTCTTCAATTCTTCAATTTTTCGATTTTTCAGGTTTTTGATTTTTCGATTTTTCGATTTTTTAGGCTTACGAATTTTCAACTTTGCTTCTTTAGTTTTTCGATTTGTCAATTTTCCAATTATTTAATTTCTCAATTTTTGGATATTTATTTCTGTTTTCTGGATTTTTGAATATTTCGATATTTCGAATCTTCGATTTTTGGATTTTTTTTGATTTCTCGATTATTTCCTTTTTGGATTTTCAGTTTTTCGTTAAACTTTAGATTTTTCAATTTTTCGACTGTTTTAAATTTCTAGGTTTTTCGATGTTGCGGTAGGTACGAAATGTGATTTTTTGAAAATTTCTAAAAATTTCGATAATTCAACAGTCTATTCTAGAAAAATGGTCGCAGTTATCAAAGAAACGAGGCCGGAAGTTAGTTCAAGAGCTCGAAATCTACAAAAAAATGTATTTAGTTAGGTTTCGAAAACGTCAAAAATTGGCCGATATTTGAAGCAGGGAGGACCATTGAAAAAATTTCACTTTTAAAAAAGTTGTCTAAAAATTAAAAAAAAAATTCAGGGACGTAGATCTCGTCATGCTGATTCCAAAAATATAGTATATTGATGGTCAAAGAGCAACATTGTCGAAAGAATCGGTACGAAATGCGAATTTTTGGAAATTTCAAAAATTTCGATATTTCAACGGTCGATTCTGGAAAAACGGTTGAAGTTATCAAAGAAACGCGGCCGGAAGTGAGTTCTAGAGCTCGAAAGCTACAACAAAATGTATTTAGTTAGGTTTCGAAAATTTCAAAAATTTTCCGAAATTTAAACCATTGAAAAAATTTCACTTTTCAAAAAGTTGTCTGAAAAATGTGAACAAATTCAGAGACGTAGATCTCGACATGCTGATTCCAAAAATATAGCGTTTTGATGGTCATTAGCAACATTTTGGAAATAATCGGTACGAAATACGAATTTTTGAAGATTTCAAAAATTTCGATTCTGGAAAAGCAGTTGCTGTTATCAAAGAAACAAGGCCGGAAGTGAGTTCTAGAGCTCGAAATCTACATAAAAAGGATTTTTGGTTAAGTTTCGAAAGTGTCAATTTTTTTAACATAAGCAGTTCTGGGAACTTTTCAATTTCTGGTTCTTTTAATTTTTCTATTTTTAAAATTTTTGTTTCTTTGATAATTCAATTTTTCAATTTTTGGCCATAATTTTGTAAGAACATGATGGTGATTTCTTGTAAAAAAATAAAAATTTTGCAATTCAGCTCCGCCCTCTGGCTCACGACAAATAAAAAAAATCACCACAATTGAGACAGGGTGGGTGGGCGGGGCATATATTTTGTTTTTGTTTTTCTTAATATAAGTTGTTTTTTTTTCACTACAAGAAACTTAAAACAACTTTAAAATGCTAAAAGTTTTCCTAATGTTAATATCATACAATGTATGGAAAATAAATAACTACCAAAATTGTGACTAAAAATATGTAAAAATTAATACAAAATAGTACACAATGCTTCTAAAACATAAAAATAACTGTACTTTTCCGGAAAAATCTATTGCACCCTGTATAGTTTATTTTTTAAAGGCGTGGAAATATTCACTCAACCCAAAGTACACATTTTCCAGTTAACTCGACAATTTTCATATGTGTTAAAAAATGTACGTTTTGTCCAAAACGTTGTTTTCTTAAAATGTCACATTATTCTTAACCAATTTTTTTTGTTTCATTTGTTTGAAAAATGAACTATAGACCTGAAAAGAATTCATAAACTTCTTTTTTAAAAGTTATCAACATCTAACGAAACATTTCTAAAATTTATTTTAGAAAATACAAAATCGACAAAACTCTATCATAAAATATTGAAAATAATAATTGAAACAATTTTGAGGCTCCTGCTATGTTTCTTAAAAGGATTCAAAAATATTTTGGAAATCATTTGGGCGCAGCTGGAGTTTAAAACGACGTTTAGGGCCTGATAAAAAATGTAAAATTTTTTTGGGTGCTTTTGGTGTGTTGATTTCGACCTAGATTAAAAGAATAGTGGTGATTTCACTGTGAAAAAAAATACTAAAATATCTAGACTGATTTTTTTTTTAGTATATTTTTTGTGCCAAAAATGACGGAAAATTTCCAGGTTCTGAAGAAAACAGAAGAAAATATTAGACTTCTGATATACTTAGTTTAAAGTGAATTTAATTGTCAATCAATTCCGATAAAAATTGTCAAAAATTAAATTTACAAATTATATCACGACGTCCAGTCCTCGATATCACTTGATTTTAGATACTGGTAGTATGCCCTTTGTGCTACTCTACGCCACTGAGTTTAAAGATTGTTATTTCCCCCTCTCTGGGTACTGCTCCACCGGTGCTCCGTTGCTGCGTCATTCGTTCCTTTGTGGCCGCTTCGACACCACGAGTCTCTGCATCCAGCAAATTATTTTTTCACTGTGTTGCATCAGAACATTCTGTTCATCTGCACAGGTAATCTTTAACCCATTTGTAGACTTTTCAGCAACCTCTTGCAGGCACAACAATGCCATCCGACGATCGCCGTACCTCCTCGGACGCTTCGTCAGAGTCCTCGGCGCGCCTTTCGCGCCGGGAGCTGGCACGGCGATTACGAACGTTGGAAGACCGTTGCAAGCGGAGGCGAAAACATCGTCATCGCGACCGCTCCCGGTCCCACGATAAGACACGCGTAAAGACTCGGCGTTCTTATCGCGGAGACCGCCATCACTCAGATGTACGGCACTGCGTAACCACTCGGCAGTGTCGTCGTCATAGCAGCCCAGCAGACCTACGAGAACGCGCAAAAACTCGGCGTTCTCGTCGGTCCACCAGCCGCTCCAGATCACGCAGCCCACACAGGTGCGAGCGTCGATCACACCAGCGCCAGCGAGATAACAGGCTTCGAACATTCGAGCGACAAAACAGCGGACTCAGCGTCTCGCGCGGAGCCAGGACCGGACCCCACGTCTCGTGGGGAGACAGAACCGGACTCGCCTATTTTAGCGATCCAAGACCCGGCTCTGGAGGAGGAGATCTTGACCATTCTCGGCGCCGATCCTTCCGCAACCCAAATCACCGAGTTTGCCTTACACACGGCTCTCGCGAGTCGTTGGACTCACTATATAGCCAACGGCTTAGATAGCTCAGAAAAATTGGCTCTAAAAAATAAATACTCACTGCCAAAAAATTGCCCCAACTTACAGGCGCCAATTTTAAATTCTGAACTGGTGCCAGCGTTACCCGTTGTGGTAGTCAAGAAAGACAACCACGCACTTTCAGCTCAGCAACAAGTGGGCCTTGCGCTGGCACCTTTGGGTCAAGCTCTCAATATATTATTGACTGCCACCCCCTCACAGCCAGAGCTTCTGTCATTGGTATCCGACGCAACAAAAATTTTGACAGACTCCCTTTACCATATGTCAAAATCCCGGCGGCACACAGTCTTGCCCCATCTCAATAAGTCAGCAAAGGAAACATTGCTAACAAGCCAGACAGATACCTACCTCTTTGGAGAGGCCCTTGCAGAGCGCCTAAAGACTGCCAAAGCCCTCCAAAAGTCAGGCTACGACTTGAAGGCCCCGCCTCCTGCCCCTCCCACGAGGACTCCCAGGAAAAAAGACGCCGGGGCAAACCAGAAAAAACCAACAACAGTCGGCTCATCCCAGTCATCGTCTGGCAATAGGTATTTAAACCGGACAGGCCCGACTCGCCGTCAGGGGGAGACGAGATCATACCGAGGGCAACCCCCGGCATCCAGCCACACGAAATACCAGCGCAATCAACCCCGTTAACTAAGGTAAAACACCCTTATGCCGGCCAATTACGTCACTATGTCTCAGTCTGGTCAAATATCACCACAAATCAAAACATCTTAAGCTGGATTAAGGGCTACAAAATCCCATTCAAATCCACTCCATATCAAGTAGTACCGCCTACGCGAAAGCTACCGCGCACCCAAACTACAGCTTTGTCCGAGGTCGTATCCCAATTATTAAACACCGGGGCGATCGAGATAGCAACACCGGCCAAAGGTCAATTCTTGTCCCCATATTTTCTTCGCCAAAAATCGAATCTGTCCTACAGGTTCATCTTAAATTTAAAACGCTTAAACCAATTCATTTTGACACCTCACTTCAAAATGGATGATTATCGTACCGTCACACGACTTTTACAGCCTAACATGTATGTGACGTCAATTGATCTTACCGATGCGTACTTATTCGTTCCAATTCACCCAAGTCATCGGAAATATTTGCGATTTGAATTTGAAAACAACCTGTACGAATTTACAGCGCTGCCTTTCGGGTTAGCGATAGCTCCGTATGTGTTTAGCAAAATTACGAGGTGTGTTTCCACTTATTTACATTCTCAAGGCATTTTATGCGTAAACTATTTAGACGATTTTTTAATACTCGGAGACTCATTTTCCGATTGCCTCCGGGGAACGGAAAAAACCGTTCACGTCCTACAATCTTTGGGATTCCTAATCAATGAATCAAAAAGTCAGCTACACCCCTCACAGACATGTCAGTACTTAGGGTTTTTATTCAACAGTCAAACCATGACAATTGCTCTCCCTCCGGAGAAACGTCAAAAAATCCACACTTGGACAGCCGCAATACTCGATCTTATCACACACCATAAGCGGTGTCGTATCACTTACCTTGCACAATATATCGGACTTTTGATTTCCGCTTGCCCCGCCATTAAATACGGTTGGCTATATACTCGACAACTAGAAAGAGAAAAATGCAAAGCCCTTTCCCACCATGCTTTAAACTATAAAGCAAAAATACAACTGTCAGCTGTTCTTCTGCCAGACCTCAGGTGGTGGAACACCGCAATTCGAGTTTCAAAAAACTTTATTCAGCGAGACGAGTATCAGCGAATCATTTTTACCGACGCTTCTTTAAACGGTTGGGGGGCACACTGCAACGGGGAGAATACACACGGTTGGTGGAATGAGAGGGAAAAAACGAAACATATTAATTATCTAGAATTACTAGCAATATTCTTTGGTCTACAATGCTTTTGTAAATCACTCAGATCATGCAACATACTGATCAGAACAGACAATACCACCGCGTTAAGCTACATCAATAAAATGGGTAGCGTTCGACACCCAGAACTAGGCGATTTAGCTAAGAAAATTTGGCAGTGGTGCGAAATACGCGATTTATGGTTACACGCGGCATATATCCCCTCCAAAGACAATGTAGACGCAGATCGCGAATCACGAACACTCTCCACAGAAACAGAATGGAGTCTCAATGAACAAGCTTTCCAACAAATCGTTCAACGGTTTGGTTGCCCCACCATAGATTTATTTGCATCGCGGTTGAACCATAAATGCCCGCAATATGTATCGTGGCACCAAGATCCAGGCGCAATTGCATGCGATGCATTTACTGTCCCTTGGAACTACAGTTCTTTTTATGCTTTCCCACCGTTCGCTCTCATCTTACGCACCCTTAACAAAATAGTCACCGACAAAGCTGAGGGAATAGTGGTAGTGCCGCATTGGCCTTCGCAACCATGGTTCCCATTTTTCGAAAGACTGTTGACTAGCCCAGTTATGTTTTTTGAACCAGACGAGTCACTGTTAACTTCCCCTTTTAGGACACCTCACCCGCTTGCAGCCAACCTTACCCTGGTGGCAGGGAAATTATCGGGGAAGGTTTACGCCTAAAGGGAATGCCACCAGCTGCTATCACCACGGCAATAGCGTCTATTGCTCCCAGCACCTTAAGACAATATAACGTCAGCTACAAGTTATGGTGGAGATATTGTTCCGAAAAGGGAATTCCTGTTTACACCACCCAAACAGAGGCGGTAATCACCTTCTTACAACACTTGTACACAAAAACGAATGCTGCTTATGGCACCTTCAACTCCCATCGCTCGGCGTTAGCTCTCATCCTGCCCGGCGATGTTGGAAACGACAGTAATCTAAGAAGGTTTCTCAAAGGCATAAAACGATTGAGGCCCCAAAAACCCAAATATCAAACGACTTGGGACCCCAGTCGTGTTTTAGAACACCTGAAAACGTACTTCCCCCATCACCCTCTCCCCCTCAGCCTTTTATCAGCGAAATTAATTACCCTACTAGCGTTGATAACAGGGCAACGGCTGCAGGCACTGCATCTTATCAAATTGTCTCAGATTGTTGGAGACGAACAAGGCTTTAAAATTTTCATTGATGACACCACGAAAACTTCAATTCGCAGCGGGGAACACCCGTGCCTGCACATTCCATACTTCCTCGACCAACCAGCGATATGTGCGGCAACCACGCTCACGGACTACATGGACGCAACCAAAACCCTTCGGAAAAACGACGAACAGGCGTTGTTTCTGTGTGCGCGGAAACCACATCACCCAGCATCAAAACAAACCCTTAGTCGTTGGATCAAACGTACATTGGAAAAATCGGGGGTAGACATATCAATCTTCACGCCCCATTCCACGAGACATGCTTCGAGTTCTTCAGCAAAACGAACTGGGCTGTCTTTAGCCATCATCAACAAAACTTGTGGGTGGTCGAATACCTCCAAAATGTTTGCAGAAGTCTATAATCGACCCTTGCGGGACACATTCGCCTTCGGGCGAACAATTTTACAGACCGCAAAACTTTAAACTTGTTACCTTGATAAGCTTACACTAGGGCACAAGTTCTTAATAAATTACTTATTCTTTTTTGCACAACCTTACTAACTTTAAACAGCTACCAGTATCTAAAATCAAGTGATATCGAGGACTGGACGTCGTGATATAATTGTCAAATCAAACGAACTTACCTGTGAAGTTCGATTCCAATTATATTAGACGTCCAGTCCGAAGATATCACTTCCCACCCAACCCTTATACGGTATAAACCTTTACCCTCACGCCAGGTTGTGCATTCCGCTTTAAACTAAATGACGCAGCAACGGAGCACCGGTGGAGCAGTACCCAGAGAGGGGGAAATAACAATCTTTAAACTCAGTGGCGTAGAGTAGCACAAAGGGCATACTACCAGTATCTAAAATCAAGTGATATCTTCGGACTGGACGTCTAATATAATTGGAATCGAACTTCACAGGTAAGTTCGTTTGATTTGACAATTATTATTAAATTATTAATAACGAATTTATGTAACTGTCTACTAGACATACAATTCATTAAAAGAAATCAGATTTACGAACTTAATTCTTCAACTTTGAAGTTTATTTTTTTTTAGTTTATTGGTGCAGGAACTTTTTAACTATTTTTTTCCAGTTTTTCGAGCTTTGTTAACAACACATCATCGAGATTTTCTGTGATTTTTTAAACACCTTGTATAATTGGAAAGAATGTCGGTCTCTTTGAAGCAACCTTTAAGGAGTTTTCTTCCTGAAAAAATTTGAAAGAATTTGGATTTCCTAATAAATAATTTTCTGAAGTGTTTTAAAACATCCTTGGGGCCCGCAGTCTATTGCTTCAAAACGACTTCTGGTGTTTTGTTTTTCGAAAAATTAAAAAATTTTTGGTATATAGTGTAATTCTGTAAGAAAAGTTTGAGGAGTTCCGATTTTGAAAAAAATTGAAAGAATCTTGTAGTTCCTAGATCCATTTTTTAAGAATTCAAAAAATCCTTCGAATTTTGTTTCGCGGCTAAAAAACCATGGAAATATCTTGATTTGGGGTCTTTTTTAGAGAATTTAAAACGATCTTGTCTCCTAATGATTTGGTTTTTAAAAATGTTGAAAGAACATTCTGTTGATTTATGTATTTTAGAACGAATTTTAAAAAATCTTGAAAATCTCGGCGGCATGATTTTGAAAAAAATTGAAAGAATCTTGGAGTTCCTGGATCCTACATTTTGAAAGAAGGTAAAAGGATCTTACAAGTTCCTATGGTCTGTTTTCGAAAACTTGAATATGTTGTTTCCTTTTTAATTAAAAGGTCCTTTGATACCTGTCGTTTTTCAAAGAATTTGAAAAAATATCGAGAAGCACTGGTGTTTTGTTTTAGAACTACTTTTGAAGAATATTTAGGGTAGATAGAGTTATATTTTTGAAAAATATAGAAACAATCTTCGGGTTTCTAGGCCTTTTTTTGAAAAAAATTTAAAGTTTTTTGGGGTTTCTACTGTTTCGTTTATCAAACAATTTGAAAAATATTGGTGTACATTGTAATTTTGTAAGAAACTTTTGAAGAGTTCTGGATTTGAAAAAAAATTGAAAGAATCTTGGGGTTCCTAGATTAATTTTTTAACAATTTAAAAAACCTTTGAATTTGGTTTCGTTCGTTGAAAGAAAATTGTTGACCTGTGATGAATTACTTATTTTGAGGATCTCTACGATTTTGAGTTTTTTTTTTAATTGAAAACATCTTGGAGCTCCTGGATCCTACATTTTAACATAAAAGGATCTTAAGAGTTCCTGGGGTTTGTTTTTGAAAAAAATGAAAGTACTTTTGAATATAGTGTCCTCTTTTTAATTAAAAGGTCCTAGAAGGCCTGTGGTTTTTGAAAGAATTTGAAAGAATATCGAGAAGCCCTCTGTTTTGTTTAAGAACGACTTTTAAAGAATCGTTAGTGTCGCTAGAGTTATAGTTATTTTCGAAAAATATAGAAACAATTTTGAGGTTTCTATGCCATTTTTTTCAAAAAATTTAAAACAACATTTGGGATCCCTGGTGTTGTTTTTCAAAAAATTTGAAAAATATTGGTCTGTAGTTCAATTTTCTAAGAAAATTTTGAGGAGTTCTCATTTTGAAAAAAATTGAAAAAATTTTGGGTTTTCTAGATCCATGTTTTTAAGAACATTGTCGACTTGTGGTGATTTATTTATTTCAGAAAATTTTAAAAAATCTTGAGGATCTGTGGGGTTTTTATTTTGAAAAAAATTGAAAGAATCTTGGAGTTCCTGGTTCCTACATTGTGAAAGAACGTAAAAGGACGTTAGGACTTCCTAGGGTTTGTTTTGTAAAAAAAGTTCAAAGAACTTTTGAATATAGTGTACCCCTTTTAATTAAAAATTTCTTGGATGCCTGTGGTTTTTGAAAAAAAAAAATTTAAAAAACATTTGGAGTCTCTGGTGTTTTGCTTTTGAAAAAATTTGAAAAATGTTGATCTTAAGTGAAATTTTGTAAAGAAATTTTGAGGTGTTATGATTTTGAAATAAGTTGAAAGAATCTTGGGTTTCCCAGATCCATTTTCTTAAGTATTTAAAAAACCTTCCAATTTTGTTTTGTTTGTGAAAAAAATTGAAAATATCTTGCTTTGGTGTCTTTAAAAGGAGTTTGACTACTGATGATTTGGTTTTCAAAAATGTTGAAAGACTTAAGAAAGGGGTTTCGATTTTGAAAAAAATTCGAAGAATCTTGGAGTTCCTGGATCCTACATTGTGAAAGAATGTAAAAGGACCTTGAGAGGTCCTGAGGTTTGTTTTATGAGGGTTCTTAAGTATTTTGTTTAAAATAATAATTGGAAGAATCTTTAGAGGTCTAGTTCTAGTTTACTCTTTTTGAAAAAAAATTGAAAAGATCTTTGCGTCCCTAGTGCTTACTTTTTTTTTCAGAATTCAAAAGCACATTCTAAAGACTCTCCTGATTAGTTTTAAAACAGCTTTGAAAAAATGTTGAGCTTTTCTAGTGTTTTGTTTCTGAAACAAATTGAAAATTCTTTATCTATATTACCTTTTTAAAAATTTTAAAGAATCTTGAGGATCTTTTGTTAAAAAAATTAAAGAATCTTGATTTACAGTGTCTTTCTAAAGAATTTAAAACACACTTGGTTTCCTGGTGACGTAGCTTTTAAAAGGATTAAAAGAACTTTGGAGCCCTCTGGTGATTTATTTTAGAAAGAATTTTGAAAAATCTTGAAGGTGTCTTAAATTCTGTTTTTGACAAAATTTTAAAGAATCTTGAGGATCTCTGGTCTTTCGTTAAAAAAAAATTAAAGAATCTTGATTTACAGTGTCTTTCTAAAGAATTTAAAACACACTTGGGTTCCCGGTGACGTAGCATTTAAAAGGATTAAAAGAACTTTGGAGGCCTCTGGTGATTTATTTTAGAAAGAATTTTGAAAAATCTTGAAGGTGTCTTGAGTTCTGTTTTTGACAAAATTTGAAAGAATCTTGAAGTTTCTCTATTCGATTATTTTTGGAAGAGTTTAAAAGAACTTGGGAGTTCATGGTGTTTTGTTTAAAAAAAAAATCATGAGTTCATTAGTGTCTTTTTTAAGAAGTTAAAAGAGTCTGGTTTACTGTTTTTGAAAAATACGTATTGAAAGAATCTTCGATTTTTATGTTTTTTTTTTAGAACGACTTTAAAAGAAGTTGAGAGTTTCTGATTTTTTATTTTTGAAAAAAATTGAAAAAAGTCGTAATCGGTATTGTCTTTATCTAAGAATTTAAAAGAATCTTATGGGTTTCTGGTGATTTGATTTTCAAGATGATTAAAATAATCTTGAAGGCATGTGTTGATTTATTTTAGAATGATTTAAAAAAAATGAAAATGTGGCTTTTTTTTTTTATTTGAAAGCATCTTTCGGTTCGTATTTTTGGTAAGAATTTAAAAGAACATTATTGGGAGTACCTGATATTTTGTTTTAGAACACTTAAAAAAAACTTGGAGGGTCTCTGGTTTTTTTTTTGGAAAATTTGAAAAAACCTTATAGTGCCTAATTTTTTTAAAGAATTTAAAACAACAAACAATCTTGAAAGCCCCTGGTGTTTTGTTTTAGAACAATTTTGAAATAACCTAGAGACTGTCTTGTGTTTTGTTCTTGAAAAAATTTTAATGAATGTGTGTCCTTGTATCTTCAATTTTCTAAAATATATATTTCAAAGAATGTTGGCGTTCCTGATGTTTTGTTTTTAAAGGAAGTTGGAAGAATCTTTATGGTCCCCGGCCTGTTGTCTTTGAAAAAATTTGTATGAATCTTCAACTCGCTAGTGTTTTTATAAGAATCTAAAAGGATCTTGAGAATTTCTGGTAATTTGATTTTCAATATAATAAAAGAAACTTGGAGGTTTTTTTGACAAAATTCGAAAAATTTTAAAGAATCTTGAAAGGCCAGGTTGCTCTGTTTTAGAACAACTTGTAAAGAGTCTTTAGGGTTACTAGAGTATTGTTTTTGAAAAAATTTGAAAGAATCCTCAAGAGAAACCTGGAAGCTCCTGTTTTGTTTGCTTTAGACCGACTTTGAAAAAATTCTGTGTCCCTATTATCTTTTATTTAAATTATTCACAAGAATATTGGGGCTCTTTCGCTTTTAAAAAAAATTTAAAAATCTTGAAGGTTCCTGGTTTATTGCTTTTGGAAAAACTGAAAGACTCTTCGTGTATTAAGTGCTTCTTTAATAATCTTTTGGGTTTCTGGCGATTAAAGATTAAAAGAACTTTGAAGGCCTTTGGTTCATGGAGTTTTGTTTTTGAAAAAATTTGAAAATATCTTTACCTATGTTATCTTTTTAAGAATTCCAAATAATCTTATGGTCTTCTGGTTGTTTGGTGTTCACAAAGATTAAAAGAATCTTGGAAGTTTGTGGTGATTTATTTTACAATTCCTGGAGGGCTTTCTTTGAAAATTTGAAAGTATTTTGAAGCTCTAATTTTTTAAAGAATTTAAAAGAATATTCGGACTCCGTGGTATTTTGTTTTAGAACGACT